CAAAAGACCTCTCTGTTAGAAGAACTGTTCATTTTTGGCTTGCCTGGGCTGCACTGAGTGTGCAGGAATTGTCTTAGCTGCATATAAAATATGTAATATAGTTAATGTATGTGTGTCAGCAACCTAAAGGTTCCTCACTGAAGAACGATCCTGAGATGAAACTAAGTATTCTGACAGTTTTAAGGGAAGTGATATTTGCAGCTACAGCCATTTATCTTGTTTTGTAAGGAGCTGACCTTGCTAGCTTATCCTGCTTTGCAAGAACTTGTTTGCAAGCAGGTGTTCCCTTGCACGGTATCATGTATTGGCCATGCGGGTGCAGTGTGCAAGTTGGGGGGAAAAAAAAAACAAAAACAAAAATCCTGCAGACCCTGGAGAGGATAAATCAAGAGGGAAGCTGTGGTGATCAAGTGAGGAAAAGTATGCTTTGAAGCAGGGATGCCCTGCTGACACTACCGATTGAATCCACTGCCAACATGTTCCTTCTTCTACCTGGTGTTTTGTCCCTCTCAAGGTAATAGAGTGCTTGCTCAGGGAGCTTCTGTTTTAGCTTACTAGGGTTCATACTGCACTTGCTTAGGGAGTTTCTGCTTGCCACTTTCTGGGGTTATCTAAAGTGAATGCCTGTGTGACAAATAAAACTTGTAACCCTCTGTGCTGCCCTGTGTGTGTGCTTGCTTGCCTCTGCTCCTGAAGCATCCAAGCATACGCAGAAATACTTATGTAAGTAACAATTTATTTTTTAATGTATTTTTATGAAAACATTGCAGAATCACCAAGGTTGGAAAAGACCTACAAGATCATCCAGTCCAACCATTCAGCAATCACCAATAGTTCTCAGGAAACCACATCCCTCAACACAAAATCCAAATGTTTCCTGGATCGCTGGCTCCAGGGTCGCTGACTCCACCACCTCCCTGGGCAGCCCATTCCAGTGCCTGACCACTCTTTGAGAGAAGTAGTATTTCCTAACGTCCAGCCTAAATCTCCCCATGGCGCAGCTTGAAACCATTCCCTCTAGTCCTGTCACCAGTTACACGAGAGAAGAGGCCGACCCCCAGCTCACTACAGCCTCCCTTCAGGTAGTTACAGAGAGCAATAACATCTGCCTTGAGCCTCCTCTTCTCCAGACTGAACAATCCCAGCTCCCTCAGCCACTCCTCATAAGGCCTGTGCTCCAGACCCCTCACCAGCTTTGTAACCTTTCTTTGAACCTGCTCAAGGGCCTCAGTGTCTTTCTTGCAGTGAGGGGCCCAAAACTGGACACAGCACTTGAGGTGCAGCCTCTCCAGAGCAACGAAAACATAAAACAAGTGGGGTTCTTGACCTGTTTCTGTGAAAACAGTGCATCAGTCTGGTTCAATGGAAGTGGTTGCAATTCTTAGTGAGTTCTCAAATGCGTTCGTTATGGATTTTTGATGACATTTTACTTGTCCTGTGCTTCATCCTTAAGAACAGTTGTTCACAAATATTTTTACTACCAAAAAAGAAATGGCATGAATAAGGCACGATTGTTAAGCGAGGACCTTTCAGTATCTGAAGGGGAGCTACTGGAAAGGAGGCGGCAGACTCTTTAGTAACGTCTGTGGTGATAGAACAAGGGGAACTGGCTTCAAGCTCAGAGAGCGTAGTTTTAGATTAGATATAAGGAAAAGATCTTTTACAGTGAGAGTGGCTAAGCATTGGAACAGGTGCCCTATCCCTTTAGACGTTCAAGGTGAGGCTGGATAAGGCCCTGGGCGACCTGATCTAGCTGTGGTGTTCCTGTTCATTGCAGGGGAGTTGGACTAGATGGCCTTCAGAGGTCCGTTCAACTCTAAGGATTCTATGATATTTTTCTCTGTTAAGATAGGTCTTACAAAATGACCAGGTATTTCTTTCAGTTGAATGTCTGACTGGAATTCTATTCCTTGTGAAAATTTATGGATAACGTATTTATGTCACATGAAAATATATGTAAATATATGAAGTAATGATGATGAATATATGAAGAAACTGATGATTTTTTTAATGGTCTTCAAACCTATTCTCAAATTCCTGTATCAAAATAAAAACCCTAGCTGCATGTTTTTTACTGCTCGCAGGATTGTGTTTAGCCAGCACATCAAAATGCATGAAGTTATTTGTCTTAACTTCAGCTTGCCATAGTTTAAGTTTCAATTCAAATGTTGTTATGGTTTGAAACATAGCACAGATGATTTTCACCTTGAAACATATTGATTAAGTAAGTGATCAAATCTACCAAAAATGAAGAATGACTCACAGATTTAGTTCTGGCACAAATTTTCCGTTTAATTCCATAAATGACTTGATTTCATTTCATGAATCATAAAATCATTTTACCCTTTAACTTTAATGTAGCTACCTTCTTTCAGAAAAGTAAATGATGTCCCCATAATCAGCATCCATACTTTAGAACATCTGGAATTGACAGTGATTTAATCCTTGGACTTGATGAAATTCACATATATAATGATTATTTGTTTGACATTATCCATTTTTAAAGCATTCACGCATAAGTTTTCATGTTGTACGATGCAGTTTTATTTAATCAAATGTGAGTGAGTGATGGCAATTGCATCGTCTTCTAACTTTATAATTTCCTCTTTTTTTTTTTGTCAGCCATCACAAGGGCACCAGGAATAGCGGTACCAGATATTTTGTAAAAGGTTAAAGAAAATTGCTTTAGTGTATTTTTTTACTGCTTCATACAGATCACCAGGTTTATTTGTGTCTTTTAATGGTACCAAAGAAACTATTTTTTTAGTGAAATATATTTATCAATAATAATTAAAAAAAAAAAAAGGCTAGTTGAACCATATCTGTAGCATCAGTACTTTCATCTATCACCAAAGCATACTATTTGAAATTAGGCAGCTTTACCCTCCAAACTTCTTTTGATAGGTTTTTCTATTTCTTCTGGCTACAGTCTGGTGAAACGTGATTTTAGAAAAATCCATTGTCTTTATCAGGACACACTGTATACCATGCTTTCCATACGTTGTTCAATAAACTCACCATCAGTAAATGCTTTTGATTTTTCTTTTTCAATTTGATTTACTACCCTGTAACTAACTTTTATAACAGAGTCCATTGGAGTTTTAACTTTTTAAAGAAGGTTTTGTTGAGATGACAGACTTTTTTTCAGTTCCACTATTTTGTCTTTACACAGCCAATAACATTCCTTGATGTTATTGCATTTGACAGCCTGTTTCTGTATACATCTTTTCAAATTGAATTGATCTCTGAAAACTGATACTATTTTCTTAGACATTAAGCACAGTGCCGTATTACTTGTCTTGACAAAAGTACTCGTCTGTCCATATTTTGTTGAATACTCTTCCTTCATCTTCCTTCTGCTTTTGAGATACCATTAGGCAGGTTGAAATATTAGTATTGGCCATCAGCTTTTTACTCACCAAGCAGCACAAGCACATGCCTCATTGAATGCATATGGTTTTCAGTGCAACAGAATGTGTGAGAAGGTGCAAGAAGTGTCAGCACTGCATTGCACCTTCCCTGTGTCCTTGTTTCAGCCCAGAGAGTGCCAATCATGCATTGATGTTTGACTGTCAATGGGTGCATGACCAGGCCTGGGCATGGCCCCCGTTCCTTGTGAAAGACAGCCAGCCTTGATTGCACTGGGCAGGCTGCGTGGTGAGCTGTGCCAGACTGCATGCAGCCTGCAGGTTGGACGTGCCTGTCATAATAGAAAAACAGAATGTCTTCTGTAATCATTGTACCATTTAGTGTGTTTGTTTACAGACAAGTATAATCAGGGTTCATGCAACCCTTGATGGGTTTTTATTTATATTTCAAATTCTTTGTAATATTAAAATTTGAAATTGTATGCAAAGGACTCTTTTTTTCTTAGGGTGTGTGTACGTATGTAATCATGATAGAGGTAACTTACGCCAGTGTAAAACAGTGACTGGCACACTGTACTATATGCTTACATACTGTGCTGCTTCAGTTGTTTTTCTGTTGTTTTTTTTTTTTTTTGGTCTTTCCTGTAGAATCATAGGATCACCAAGGTTGGAAAAGATCTCCAAGGTCATCTAATCCAATCGTCCGCCTTTCACTAATATTTTCCCACCAAACCATGTTCCTTAGCACAAAATCTCTATGTTCCTAGAACACCTCCAGGGATGGTGACTCAACTTCCTGGGCTTAAACACCCTTTTGGAGAAGAAATTTTTTCCAACATCCAACCTCAGTCTTTCCTAGCACAACTTGAGGCCATTCCCTTTAGCCCTGTCCCTGGTTGCGCAGGAGAAACGACTGACCTCCACCTTGCCACAACCTCCTTTCAGGTAGTTGTAGAGAGGTATGAGTCCAGATCCCTCTGTAGGGCCTTCCTATCCCTAGGCGGATCAACGCTTCCTCCCAGCATGGTGTCATCTGCACACTTACTGAGGGTGCACTGAGTGCTCTCATTCAGGTCATTAATAAAGCTATTGAATGGGATAGGCACCAGTACCAGTCTGTGGGGAGCCCTACTTGTGACCAGTCACCAGCTGGAGTTAACTCCATCCACCACCACTCGCTGGGCCTGGCCATCCAGCCAGTTCTTTACCCAGCAATGAGTGTACCTGTCCAAGCTATGGGTTTCTAGGTTTGTCTGAATTCAGATGGGGACAGCCTGCTTCTCTGTCTTTAAGACTTCCTTCTTGAGGGGTTTCCAGTCTTCCTGGACCCCTTTACCCATCAGGACTGAATCCTGTGGTTCAACATCTGCCTTCAGGAGGTCGAAGGTAGCAATTATACTGGTCCCCTTCCCAACTTTACCATGAGTCAAGAACTCCACCATTTTGTAGGTCATCACCATCTTTGTTTAAAAAAAGCAAGAGAATCGGTATATCTCAGCTCTAGTTTCTAAAATTTATTTGTAATTGTTCTGTCTAGTGTGGAATTGTTTAGGCCTTTGCCTGTATGGTAATCTTATTTTTAAGGGATGTTTATTTTTTAAATCTTTTGTCTTTGTTATTTGTACTTTTTAGGTGTGTTGAATCTGAATCCTGATGCCGATGATTCCATTTCCGGAGAAAGACTACCTACAGATATAAATTGGGTGAAGAAAGATAGGAAAGAATGTAGTAGGAATCAGAATAGAAGAAGTTTATTATGTCCTAGTCTGCCTGAAAAAGATTATGGAAGCTCTTCCACAAAGCATTATGATGTTTATAATCCAGAAAGTCGGTATGGGAATTCTGAAGATTTTCACCAATATTTTGGTACCAGTCGAAGTTCAAAGAATCGCAGCTTTCAAAATCAGAGGTGGCACAGATCAAGGAACGATACCACATGTACTAAAAGTAAGGTAAGACAAAGTACTGCAGAGGCTGCTGCTTGTCCTGGAATTTCAGATGCTGCAAAGCTACCTGGAAGAAGAGCACCTATTAAAGGATACAATGAATTTATCTCCTCAGAGAGTGACAGGGAAGTAGCTAATGCAGATAGCCGAGGAGCAAAGCCAAAGAAATCACACCTGGTACATGCACCTGGAAGAGGTTTCAGGGAGAAGGGAAAGCAAGTACATGAGCGAGAGAAGAGAATGAGCTCTAAACAGAAAGTAGAGCTTTTTGAAAATACTCCATCTTTGGATTTGACTCAGTCGGACTCTTCAGAATCTTCTGCTGGAAAGGCATTCAGTGAGGCACCAATTGGTAGTGGGGATGAGCAGAAAGGCTACAATTATGTAAACAAGAGATATCCCCGGAAGCCTATGTGGAATAAACCGCCGGTAGAGAAAGAGTATCAGAAGAGACATGATTCTCACCATAGCAGAAATACAAAAGCGGGTAAGAAGTCTTCTCTTGCGTGTACTGCAAAAGATAAAAATGAGAGGAAGAAAGAATTCTCTGATCACAAAAATGATGAAAATGTGACCAGCGAGATCAGAAATGAATTGCTTGAGTCTGCCAGATGTAACGGAAGAAAGTTTTTGCTAAAGGGGGATCAAGCGCCTTCCCTTAATTTCAGCTGGACCCAGTACTGGAAAAAACAAAGTGATATACCAAAAAACAAAGAAACTCATACAGGTAACCTTTATAAATTATCTTGCACTCAAGTATTAAAGATTCAATCTTAAGTAATTTAATCTGCCTTCAAATTTGACTAGTTGATGTTGTTTATTATTTCACGTGAGTGTAGTATCAATTTCTTGAGGGTAAATGTGGGGTTTCTGTGTAGGCAGGTGGTTTGTAATTTTATTAGAGAAGAACATGTATGTTCTTAAATATTTTTCTACCGCCAGAATGCAAGCGACGGCCTATCAGGTGTCGTGTTTAAAAAAAAAAAAAAAAAAAAGTGCATGGAAGAGTTCTGAACATTGAGTCTTGAGAGGAGCAGTCCTGAAATTCATTTTTTTGCATAATAATTTGTCTTATGTTTTATGTAAGAGCAGGAGCATCTCAGGACAACTGTGTTCTGTTCATAACTTTTTTCTTGCTATTTTTTTTGGAATGGTAGTGTGAAAAGCTAATTAGGAATAGAGAATGTGTCTGACTATTTTCTTGCTGTTTGAGAGCAGAATCATGTGCAATTGATAGTGGGAGGTGCACTCTTAGGTTTTTGCTCCCTAATTGAATTTTGCGCCAACTCAAATGGTTAGGAACTTAAAAGATGAAAAGTAAATCAGTTGAGTTTCTTCAGTGCCACAGTACTGGTTTCTGTTTCACCCCAGTTCCTTGGTCATACTCTTAGACAAACTTATGAGTGCACTGAGAAAATAGTCCTGTTGTATTCATGCATTCCTATTTTCTTTCAGAAGCAGAAACTGAGGAGAGAGGTTTTTGTCCTTTTCCATTTGAACAAACATTGAAATGTCTCTTTAATTGGTTGCTGCAAAGCATCTCAACCTCAATTCTGCTGATTAGAATGATAGAGATGGATAGACTAATTCTTGTTACCTTGACTGAGCTGTTGAATCTTATAATTTTGCTTCTCAGCATCTCTTTTCTTTCAAAGCTTAGAAAGAGCATAATCAGGAAGTGTAAGGTAACTCCAGTAAGAGGCTCTCATCCTTTGAGAGATGCTCAAAAATCAGAAGCTTCCTTCATCCTTTGTAGCTCTGCAGGAGCCTGATGATCTACTTGAATCATAAAATTAAAGATGTTTCAGTCTTTCTCCCGGCCTTATTCTTAAATGAAAAACATATTATGTAATAACCAGAAAAAGGTAGTGGTCTTCTACAGGAAGTTTAAGGATCTTTCCACAATTGGAGCATTTCTTTGCTTGCCTTAATTGGGAGCTGTTTTGGAAAACACTATATACTGCCACTGTTTTTAGGGATAGTGTTTCTAGCTGTTTAAAGGACAGCTGTCCTCTCTGTGGACAATATAGTTTTGCTCTCACAGAGGTAAGTAAGGAAGTAGTTTTTGTTAGGGGTGTTTTCTTTATAGCAGGTAGAATTAATAGCGTACTGGATGTGGAAATGTCTGTTAATTCTAAATCTTGTGGTGCTTGATACAGGATGGCTAGAAAAGATGCTTGAAAGAATATATCCTATTAAGGATGGCAGACACTCCTATTGATGGCAAGTTTCCAGAAATCTATAGCTGTGCTATCAGTTGTGTGGTATAAAACACTTCTGAATTACTAGTCATTTTTCTTTTGTCAGTTTCATTTTTCTTCTTTGTTATGGGTTCTAACTTCCCTTGTATTGGTACTATGTAAAAAATATATAATTGAAATTCTGCGAGCATAGATCAAGCAACATTTTTCATAAGTATTTGGTAGCTTCAACTTGATAGGAGTGTTAATCTGGCAGAATTGAGTTATGCAAATACAATAAAGTCACAACACATCTAAGTTTTCAGGCTGTCATCTTCCATTTAGAAATCTTGCTTTATTTTTAAAATGCTTTTTCATGTTCTTTTGTTTGGCTCTAAGGGCCTTGTATTTTGGCTGTTGTTTTCCAGCAATTCCATTCCTAAAGTGATTTATGAAGGTTACAGTAATGCTACTTCTAGTATTAGTTGTGTAGTCTTCTACAGAGGATGATAATTTAATTTCGAGACTTCTATAGTTCATAAGCTTCAAGATTTTTGTTGTAAACTTTATGTGAAACTAGACTTTCTATACAAAGTGAGGTAAATACTTCTTGCAAGTTTAAGACTATTAATTTTTTTTTTTTTGTAAGATCACAGCAATTGCCATTCATCACCAAGAATTATTGTTACCAGTGTTATGGGAGTTTCATTCTACTTTTCCCTGCTCTGAAGCTAGAGAAATGTGTATCAAGTATCTTCCAGAAGTAAGCTATTACCTTACTTATAGTCACAAAGGAAAAAGAAGTTATGTTAAAATTTACATGGAGTCTTGGAATTTTATTTCTCAGATAACTGAAGCTTTGTATGCAAGTAACATATTTTATTTCCAGGGTCTTTGATTGAGCAGCTGACAACAGAGAAGTATGAATGTATGGTATGTTGTGAGGTCGTCCGAATAGTAGCACCTGTGTGGAGCTGTCAGAATTGCTACCATGTATTCCACCTGAATTGTATTAAAAAGTGGGCAAGATCACCAGCTTCTCAAGCTGAAGGTAGGTGTTCTCTGTGCACATTCTCTCTCAAATATGTATAATAGTAAAATTTGTTTTCTATATGTAAAACTGGTTCAAAATGTTTTCAGATCAAGGTAGCTAGTAAGCAGAAAACAAAGCAAGTTTTAAATCAGAAATGTTTTTCAGGGTTCTTTGGATGTTTCTATAATGCTCTTGGCTATTTTCTTTCTAGTATTCTGACTAAAACTGATTTCTAGATACGTGAGTGAATGATACTCAATGAAATCACTGCATTAAGATGCAAAACTGGCTGCTTTCTTACACACAAATCCCTTTCTCTTATCCACACTGGGCTCAGCAGTCAAACAGAAGCAGTACTTAAAGCATTAGTTGTCTGCTTTTATGTAATCACTCCTTAGTTCTGTCCTCAAATTTCTCACTAATGTAATGTAGTGAAGTGAAATTCAGAGAAGGCAGAAGGCTTCCAGAATTAGAATAGTTTCTGTTGGAAAAGACCTACAAAGACCAGAAAGTCTAACCAACTGAACTACTTCTGTCACTGTTCTAAACTGTTTTAGATTCTTTGTATAATACTATGTTTAGAAACTGTTACTACCGGTTTGTTCTGCCCTTTGAATGTTTTGGTGGAAGTTAAAACTGAATTTGTTAAGTCTGTGCTGTGCTCAGTTGTGTGATGTAGATGTGCTCTGAAGACTAACATTCATCTTACAGTAGGGTTAATTTTTCAATACCCTGCCTGTTTAGCCTTGTGTCTTCCTCTGGGCAAAACAAGCATGGAATCACCAAGAGGGGAAGAGACCCCCAAGATCATCCAGTCCGACCATCCACCTATCACCAATATTTTCCACTAAACCATATCCCTCATTACAACATCTAAATGTTTCTTGAGATCCTCCAGGGATGGTCACTCCATCAGCTCCCTGGGCAGCCTGTACCTGACCATACTTCCGGAGAAGTTTTGTAACTGTCCAACCTTGAATCTCCCCTGACTTTACTTGAGGCAGTTTCCTTTAGTCCTATCCCTGGTTGCACAGGAGAAGAGACTGACCCCCACCTTGCCACAACCTCTTTTCAGGTAGTTGTAGAGAGATATAAGGTCTCCCCTGGGCCTTCTCTTCTCCAGACTAAATAATTCCAGCTCTCTCAGCTGCTCCTTATAAAACTTGTGCTCCAGACCCCTCACCAGCTTCACTGCCCTTTTCTGAATGTTACTCCAGGGCCTCAATGTTCTTCTTGTAGCGAGGGATCCAAAACTGAACACAGTACTCGAGGGGTGGCACCACCAAGGCTGAGTTGAGAGGAATGATTGCTTTCCTTCTCCAGCTGGCAACACTATTTCTAATATAACCTAGGATGCAATTGGACTTCTTGGCCACCTAGGCACACTGCACAGCCAAGCTTCAACCAATACCCTCAGGTCCATTGTATCTATGTAGTCTTTCAGCCACTCCATCCCAAACCTGTAGTTGCCTGGGGTTGTTGTGGCCCAAGTGCAGGATTCAGCACTTGGTTTTGTTGACCTTCATCTCATCGGCCTCAGCCCAGCTATTCAGCCTGTCCAGATTCTTCGGTAGGACCCTCTTATCCCCAAGCAGATTGATACTTCCTCCCAGCATGGTGCCATCTGCACTGAAGATGCACTCAGTAGTCTCATATAGGTCATTAATAAAGGTATTGATCATTAATTGGTCATTAATAAAGGTATTGACCAGGACAGGCCCTAGTACTGATCTCTGGGGAGCCCCACTCATGACCTGTCACCAGCTGGATTTGACTCCATTCACCACCACTCTCTGGGCCCGATCACCCACCAAGTTCTTTACTCAGAAAGAGTCCAAGTCATGGGCTGCCAGCTTCTCCAGGAGAATACTGTGGAAAACAGTATAAAGGAAATATAGTCTGTCAGCTACTTCAGAGAAGTTCCTACAGATTAGAAATTCATTGCAGGAAGAATTGATGAAATATGAAGTTCTTGGATTTCTGAAGATGCTTAGACAGACTTCTAGATGGGGTTTGTATGGCAAAAGAAGGTGATGACAGTGCCTTCTAATGGAATCCAGGCATTATGAAGGAATAGCAGGTAGTAGAAGGAAAACTGGTTCACTATTCTGATAGCCTGCAATGGTTTGAGAGAAGTGCAATCTCCATTTGGAGAGAGATGCTGCTCTTTTACCTGCTAATCCTTACACGAAGGTGAGGGGCAAGTGGATCTTGTTCTTAAAGACTTTTTCAGATATGTTTTACTGAGGATGTTTTCCTTCGGAGACTGATTTTATTTGCCTTCTTTTGCTGTCAGGATCACCTGAAAAATAAAACACAGTATTGCAAAGCGATGTCTAAGAATCTGAATGTGAGTAGTATATTACTCTATACTTGGTCTATTTTCATTAGACTTGTTGACATCCAGTGTTTAGTATTATTACAGTGTAAACTGTCAGCAGTTCTCAGACCTAGGTAATAGATATTCTTTATTTAGAGACATCCTGGTCAATAGCAGGAAAAGGAGCTCTGCTATGCAGCACTTTGCCACCATATGGAAAGATTTTCTTCTTATAAGGAGGAACCTAACTTTCTCCTTGACAAGAGTTTTAATCAATGTTTTGAATTACCTTTTGGTGGAATGTGACCTTTAGGTAATTCCCAGCTTAAATCAGAAATATCTGTATTACACTCAAGATGTTTTACAGCAATTTTTTCTTCATAAACATACTTAATGTTGTCCTCTTCTGCTGCTTTTACAAGCTGATTCTTCAAAGGTATATGTTGTGCATCCTTATAGTGACAGAACAAGAATTCAAGCCACTTGCTCCCTTCAAAGATCAGATATTTATTTTTCTTGATATTTTCAATTCGTCTGGAAAGATGGGAGAGATTTGAGTTGCTAGAACTGTGTCTTTCTATTCTGCTCCCCCTGCTGCCTTCTACTTCCAGATGAGGTTGTGGTCTGTACCAAACCAAAAATAGCTCCTAAGATAGCTTCTGAGTTTCAGTGGTCAGAATATGAATCTGCTTGCCTTTTTTTTTCTCATTTTGTAAGCTGTGCTGTTCACGAGCTGAAGCTAATCTGTGTGCATTAGATATTATACATTTTGTTACTTTCTGCTTTTGTAACTAGGATGAAAATTTTTGATGGCATCTAGCTGAGAAGTTATGGTGAGTGTTTTCTGATACAGATTATTGTATAATATTGTCCTTTCAGAAATGGTAAAATGAAACTACCTATCTTGATTCTGGTATGTTCTACAGTTCAAGAGACTGAAATATTCTTTTTGATGTCTCTCGACATATGTAATATTGTATACACATTAAAATTTCCTGCTCTAGTGCTGCCTTGGGAAATACTTTTTTTTAGCATTCATTCTTTATTTCAGAAGATATTTTTTGTTCCTTGCTTATGTAATCCCCTGTGACTCATCTAAATAAGCATGTAAGAAAGAAAGAGTTGCATGTTTGAAACGGCACTTAAAGATCCCTGGTTTGAATACATGTATTCCTAGCTCTTCCTACTCAGGATTCTTTTGAGTCTCTTTCATCCTTTAGGATTTTGGAAAATGAGGAGATACTTCACTGTGCTTTTACAACAACAACCATGCAGTGGAAGTGGGCAGGATCTGGGCATACCACCACAAACAAAAATTTTGTCTGAAAATGCTATGAATAGGGCTGCTGACAGTATTTACTGACATTTTTATGTATTTTCATATTGACAAATAGAGATTTTTTTCTTATCTCAGGATGAAGGAGAGGATGACAAATAATAAAACACTTGTCTATTAAAAGGGAGAGATCTGTGTTTATTTCATGTAGACCATTGCTTTCTGGTGCAACTAGTTGGAATTTTGCCGCCTCCTACTTTTTTTTCTTGGTTGTGAGAATGGAGCATTAGTTCTGTAGGATCATCTTCATTCTTCATTTCTTTAGTAAGCAGGATTTATGAAGAGAGGTAACAGGAAGGTGGATGCTAGGAGTCATTATACTGTCCTACTGTAATTACACTGGAATCCAGTAAGAAAAACTTAACAGTCTTGAGTTTTTGGAAGAAGCAACCATGTATGTTCCTTGAGGTATCTTAAAAGACTGTTTTCTTTGTTAAGGGACCTGATTTACGAGGTCATTGAATATGCTGTTAGAGAAGCAGTTGCTTTTACAGCTTGCTTATCCCTCATCCAGGAGAGATTGCTGAGAGAGGCCTTCTGTCAGCCTCCTGAAGCTTTCATAGCCTTCACAGCTTTTGAAAGAAATAACAGGAAATAACAATGAAAAATGGAAATTGTTAATGTAAGAGTTAAGTGTGCAGTACAAAGTAATACTATATGGAGTCCTTTAGGGTGTAGTATGTTAGCTTATGTGGGAGCAGCCAGATAAGGTGCTCACGTCTTTTAATCCACTGCTCCCAGTTTTTAACAGTAGCTTTTAACACCTCTCTGAGATGCTTCAATTTATTGTTAAATAAAAGAAATCTTGGTCAGGAAACAGAAGTTTGTCTACAACATGAACATGAAAGTATGCTCATATATCATCTGAACAAATTGGTGAAGAGAGACAGTGAGGTCTGATCAGCTTATATATCGAGGTATATACGTAGAATTTTTGTTCAAAAGTTCTGTCACACAAGATCACCCACAGGACATGGTTTAGTGATGGTAGTGCATCAGGTTCGTATCTGAGCTGGATGATCTTGAAGGTCTTTTCCAACCTGATTATAGAAGGTCTGTTTTGACTTCTGCTTCCTGTTTTATTATGTTGGCCTCTAATATCAGAAGCGGGTGTTGATAGGATGACAGTAGGTCCTGCCAATATTTCTTTGCATTTTGTTGCCATGCAAGAGGTGGCAGTGAGGGGCAGTTTGACATGGAAGTGCATATGAAGCAAAGACATGGAACTGAAAAATTGCACCCACTGACATTCGTCAATGCTTACTGAATGAATATGGAGACTGAAGAGTGGATGTAAGCACAGTAAGGCAGTGGGCAGTGTGTTTCAGCAGTGCTGACAGTAGGTCACCTCCACTGGTGCAGCTTTATAAGTATAGCATACAGGCTCTTGTTTATCTTGTTAATCCTGGCAAAAACACATAGCTAGTGATGGTGACAATGTTAAAAAGTGCTTTGTAGCTGATAATTCACTCGATCAAACCGTGTTATTGTGCTCTTTGTAGTAGTTTTCAGGAAAATGAATGAGTGTAAGGATAAGTGATAGGTAGTCATGGCTGTTTTAAACCAGTTTCAGATCACCCAAGAACGTTAGAGATCCCAGTCTGATAATAAAGAAGGAATCAGTTGCCCCTTTCTGAGGATCAAGGGCTTGCTGAACACTCTAGAGGAGGTGATCTCCAAGTAGAGATGCTTCCCTTGCAGTGCCAAGGTCCACTCCTTCCAGTTGCACAGATGATCTCTTTCCACCTGTGCTTCAAAGGCTGGCTGTGCCCCTTCACCAGGTGCTCAGTCACGGGTTCAGGCTGTGACCTAGCAGTTCCCATACAAGAGGCATTACTTTCAGAGTGACTTGCATATCTTCCTATCCAGACATTGGTAAACATCTTTATGAATGTATCTTTCCTCACACTGCAGTTCGTGTTTTCATGAATGTTTCTTTCCTTACGCCACCATCCTTCGTTACTGCCAAACAACAAGCTCCTGAAACACAGAAGTGTGTTTAATTAGATCTAATAAAGTATTTAATATAATACACCAACTTAAAAAAAAATAGTGTCCTTGTTAATAGCTAGGCATAGTGACTATTTAAATAAAGCAGGTTATTCTGATTTCTATCACTCTAATTTATTCATGTCACGAAGCAGTACTAAACTGGTCTTCTGTAAGGCATGTAAAGTCCTAACATGGGGTGACTGTCTATATTCTGTAAAGTAGGTTTTTCATCTTATAACAGTATATATTAGTGGAAAAAATAGAATTTAAAAAATTTGTTCTTGCTTCTTTGTGAAGTAGGAGTCTTTTCAGCTCAAATGAAGTACTACTGCTGTGTTTAACTTGGTATCACAGAAATTTTTGTTAACCTGCTTTCTCAGCTCTTATTCTCAAAAACAGGTTTTTTTACCTGCTTTCTAGCTCTTATAGATTCACAAGTTAGGTCTCTTAATTACTTCATATGCTTTTCATCTTTTTTATCTACAGATAGTAACAGTGGTTGGAGATGTCCAGCTTGTCAGAATGCTTCTACACAAGTTCCTAAAACTTACACTTGTTTCTGTGGTGAGTTTCTTGATTGCTTTTGCAAAGAACAAATTGGTATCTTTTGATTCTTTGTTTTTCTTTTTATTTGTTATTTAATTTTAAATTCTGATATTGTTGCATCTTTGCCTACATCCTTGAAATTTAACTTTGTTTAATACTATTGATATGGGAAGGCTGCTGCACAAAGAACCACGCCTGTATCTGTTGCTTAAAAGATCCAAACTAAAGAAGGAAAGAATCATGTTTCCATATAGTTATATGAAAATGCCTACTAGAATTGGGCTTCCAATCTGAAAGATTTCCTTCTATAGGCTTGAAATAACTTGTGTTCTGTCTCCTTTCTGTGGCACAACACACCAGAATAATACTCAGTTCAAGCATGTAACTGATGTTACTGTAAGAATACAAATTGACTATGTGAAATTTTAATATTTATTTAGCAAGTTCTTCATTTATGTTGATAAAGACACATACAGATTTAATAGATAAGAGTATTTGGACTATTCAGAGTTTTATGTAGATACGTGTTTAACTTTTTCAGCTAACGTGTCACTAATAATTTTCAACCTACTTCCTATCAAGTAGGCCACTTTGAGATAAGCCAGTAACTGGGAGTTAATGAACTTGCCCTAAAGAAACTAAACCTATGCTGTAGTAGGTAACAGTTTTATCTACAGTTCTCCTTATCTGAACAGTTCAGTGTGTCAATTAAGAACAGTGTAACTACAGGTAAGATACTTCGAGTTATTGTATGACAGCTGTTTGAAATGTGTGAAATCCTGCAAGTATAGGTAGAATGCAAGTTTTTTTTCCAAATGAAAATTATAATATAGGCCATCCATCTGTGAAATAAAAAGGAGATTCTACTTAAACTGTTCAATAGTTCTGGGACATCTGCAGGAGGAACCTCATGTTGTCTGCATTGTCAACATTAGCGGAACACTCTGTTGGAAGATAAATCTTTAATCTATGCATAATTGTATATTAAGTGGCATTTGGACTTAAGCAGTTGCTTATGTAAAGTTATCTTGTATTTGTTGCAGAATACTAAATTTGTGTTGAGTGTAGTCAGTGATTTGGGGGTTTTTTGTTCCCTTCGTTGCATGGAGAAATTCCTGACTTACTTTTCTTTTGAATCTTCCAGTTTTCAGGTTTTTTCTCTGGAAGAATGCCCAGGTGAATTAAGCAATCCATATTGTTTATTCAGTTTTGCAAAGTTTCTACTTACACTGTAAATGAAAATGTAATAAATGAGATAAAGTAATTTGTCACTAAAAAAATTTTCTTACTTGTTGCAACTCCAATTTGTAAAACTAGCTCAAGTTGCTTCTCTTACAAAAAGACAAATTCATTTGACTGTGTGATTAACCACCACTGTAATTAACTCTGACAATCGTGTTGTTGTTAGATACAAGATTTGCTAAGAATACATCACATGAATTAAAATGTAGTTTCAATAGTCATCTGAAAAAAACAGAAACTTAAAGGACATATCACTCCTTGTTTAAAATTTCCTGCTGCATTCATCAAAATGCCAACACTCAATGCTTAAGTTTGTATAGTCAGATTCTTTTTAGAGAAGTGACTTTCATAATTTGCATAGCCATTTCATGCATTCCCCATTTCCTTAGTAGCTAGCTCTTTCCTATTGACAGTGGTATCTTTATTTTTATGTGTTGAGACAGCAAGGGAATTACATTCTTAAGTTCTCTTGTGTACTAACAGCCTTATGAACTAAAGGAAGATTTTCATTTCTTTGTGTTTTATTAGTCTAGTTTAAAGTAAAATATCTGCTAATTAAGGGTCTGCTAAGAGCATAGAAGAAAATAATCTGGAGCTTGTTAGTCCAGTGGAATTTACTTTAAATGATGTTAAGTGCATATCAGCAATAAAAGATGGGGAAAAAAAAGCATAACATCTCAAGCTTTAATTTTTTTCCCTCCAAAAAAGCCTTTTTTCAGTCAGTATTGAAAATGAAACTTCTTTCTGGTCTGATATTTCTCCCAGGTTCAATATTGCACTCAAGTCAGTAAACATGTTTTTGGCTTTGACCTTTTTTTTAGGTAAGGTACACAATCCAGAATGGAATAGAAATGAAATTCCACATAGCTGTGGGGAACTTTGTGGAAAGAAGAGGCAGTGTTTGGATTGTCCACATCTTTGTAATATGTAAGTAATTGTAATGTGAAAATATTGAGAATTTATTTTGCAGAAAGTGAAGGTGAGAACTTGGAGAAGAAAGATATGGCTGCTGTAAGTGAAGGTCAGGTTTGAGACCATGTAAGGAACCTGAAGGTGCACAAATCTGTGGGACCCAAGAAGATCCATCCAAGGGTTCTGAGGGAACTGGCAGGTGAAGTTGCCAAGCCACACTACCCATCATGTTTGAAAGGTTGTGGCATCCTGATGAAGTTTTCACTGATTCGAAAAGGGGAAAGAAGTAAAGGTTATTTGTATGCGTAAAGTGAGTTTACAGCAGAGGATGGGCAGGAGGTCAGTTCCAGTAGTTGTAGCAGCATTTCTATCATATTATAGGAACTGAATCTGCAGCTTGTTTCACAAACTATTGTTCTAGTCAAGAAAATAGTGAATTAAAGTAAATTAAATGTGTATAATGTAGTCAACAGAAATTTTAGATGCTTTGTTTTCTGTAGAAACAATCGTGTATCTTGATCTGCCAGCAGTGGTTCTTGGTTTGACTGAAGGTCCATTTAATTCTATTGTTTTTATTTCTTTAGCTTGCAAATTATTGAGATTAAGAAGGCATTTCATGTATTTAACTATTTGTTCAGACCACCAAACTTCTGAAACATAATTCTTATGGAGATCTTAATCATTATCTGTATCTTGAATTAGCTTGTTTTGGCACAATTGACAATTCACAGAATCACAGTATCACCAAGGTTGGAAAAGACCTTCAAGATCATCCAGTCCAACCATCCATTTATCACCAATAGTTCTCACTCAACCATGTCCCTCAACACAAAATCCAAACGTGACAGTTGATATGTCATATTTCAGTGAAGAGAGGCAAAGAAGAGGAATTTGATTTTCAGTTTTGGCTGTATTACTTGGATCTTTTTCAGTAGTACAGAGATAATATTATATTAGTTATATTAGTATAATATGGTATATATTAGTATAATATTATATTAGTATATTAGTTAACTTAGTTAGGCCAGTTTTTTATTGTATGAAAGGGAACAATACACTCTTCTGCCTTTTTGTATTCTGTTTTCAGAAATTTTTAATGGTCAGAAGCAATTTTTTTCTACTTCTGGTATATAATCAAAAGCTTTTCAGTCTTTTCAACATTGAGATCTTACAATTTCTCTGAAGTTTTCTAAAAATCAGAACTTTAATAGAACTTTTTATTTCGCGTGCACTGTTTCATACCATTTCAGTCTTGAATAATTCAGTCAATTGAATGATTTAATCATTCTATCTTGAATGAAATAGTGTTTCTTTATTCTTTAATACTTCTTTCACATGTGAAGAATATTATACTAGGACTCTTTTCAGACTGTTATTTCAGTGATACTGCTACTCTTGTAATTCAGGATCATACTAGATGTTCTTCACTGTGGTTTGCAGGGTAGGGTTTGAAGTGCTGGTGATTGAAACACAGCTCAGTTTTCAGACTAGACTTGACCTAGCTGATACTCTCATTCAGTGAAATACTGATTCTCTTATAGAATCCTGATCTATCTCAGGAGGGGTGTGAGTCTGTGGAGGACCTTTACCAGTCTGCAAGAAGTAGATACCTTAAGTCCTTTGAGAACATCCAGACTGCAGTTGCTGTCTTTCGAACTTTCTATGGTGCTTAGAAGAAACAGATGTTGTTTTTCCCTTCTTTCCTGTCGCAGTCTGCAGTAGTGGTTCAGTTTCTTATCTGGGAAGTTTGTGATCAATGGTAATAGTGTTGTGTCTGCTGCACATTTGTACTCCCTGGCAATTTGATCTGCATCGAAAGCTGTGAAGGTACCTTTTAAAGTCCTGATTTGCTCCCAGTTTCAAATGTTACCATTCAACTTGTTCCACATGCTGAGATTAGCCAGTCCCTGGAGGTACGGAAATTACCAAAGATGCAAAGAATGTCCTTTGTTCTTTATCTCATGCTGCAAATGCTGTTATGTGGAATGGATGCTTTTTGTCTTATGGGCAATTGTCTGGCTTGTGATTATAGTCTGTAGAGGAATGCACTTTTAGCTTCAGTGCAACGTGTGGAATTAAACTTTACAACTCACATAAGGTTATAAAGCAGGTATGTTAATTACAGTGCTGGGAAGCACTGGGGATGTTTCTACCATCAGCACTTCAAATATTTCATGATTCAGAGTCCATTATATTTCCAAAGATAGTACATATTCATCAATTATGCATGAGACACTTGACATATACATGCCTGTGTCAGGTAGTGATTGATGAGGGCTCCTAGTCTTCTGTTCTGTGGTCTCCTCCACCATCTAGCATCCTTTCACCATTATGACAGTCCAACCAACAGTCTTTTACTTATCCAGGGATCTTCCTCACTTGTACTCTAGATGAACTTTCTTCATTGACACATCCTCTGTAGGAGAATATCTATTTTAAGTAATTTATGGGTACCAAAATCGTAACATTTGATCACTCGGCACTTGCTCATTACTGATTGTGAGATCTAACCCAGTGAGTGATGGTGAATGGCTCAGTGTCTGGATGGTGGTGACTTAATGTCCAGATGGAGAACAGTAACAAGTAGTGTCCCTCAAAGGTCAATACTGGGAATGATGCTCTTTAATATCTTCATCAGTGACATCGACAGTGGGATTAAGTGCACTCTCAGCAAGTTTGCGGATGGCACCAAGCAGTCTGGTGAGCTTGATAGGCCTGAGGGATGGGGTGCCACCACAGAGACCTAGACAGTTTCAAGCAGTGGGCCCAGAAGAACCTCACAAGTTTCAACAAATCCAAGGGCCTTGCACCTGGGTTGTGACAACCCCTCCACTGTCAAACAAGGTGTGAAAGAATAGAACACAGCCCTGCTGAAAAGGACTTTTGAGTACAGGTGAATGGCAAGCTGGACATGATAACTTGATAGCAAGTTATTTTATGTCTATCTAATGTAGATGCATAAGTCTGTGTAGGGCTGCCCTGGGTTCTTCCTGACTCTTGTCAAGAATACTTTTAGTTCTAGGCTGGCAGTTTTTCTCATTATAACCTGTACACATCTTTCATGTTTTCTTTCAGCTAGAATCAGAAGTGTTTCCTTAGCTTTTGTGACCTTGGTGGTTTTGGATTTCAAGATTTGTCATCTCTTTTATTATTGTCAGGGATGTCTGAAATTTGTTCTCTATTTTCAAAAAATTAGGTTATAGAGAGCATTTCTTCATACTTTTGTCTACAGCCAGTTTACTCCAATCTGTTGATCCATTTGATAATTGTTTTCTATTGAAGTGCTATTTTGAATACTAATTTATATTATGATTTTTTTGGCTGCGCATATGTCTGTTTGTTTTAATAGTTTACTGATTCCCAACCATGTATTTTCAATGCAATTTTTTTTTTTTTAAGTGCTTTGGTGTAGGTGACGTTGTTCGTGTTAATCTACTTTCCATAGTGTAGTTCTGGGTTTTTTATTTTCCTGTGCTATCACATCAGTTGAGCTTTAACTTTTGCCATGCTGTTAGCATTTCACTATGCTACTGACAAAATTTAGTTGGATTGTTGCATTAATTTGGCGTTAAATAATCCATTTTGGTGAAAATGAGTGAGGCTAACTTACTATGTTTTAATAATAAATCTGTAAGTAATATTTGCTCAGGTTTATTGAAATAATTAATATAAACAGCTCAGTGGGCAGGCAAGCAGCTCCTCAAAAGGAGAGTAATTTGCTGGCCTTTTGCTTGTGTCAGCTGTGGCATGCTTTAGAAAATGAGTTCTCTTCACATTTAAATATGCTGAAATCCATTCTAGTTTTATAGGTTCTACATCAGTCTAGCATCTAGCTTAAAATCGAATAAAATGTTCCAAATAATAAACATAATGATAAACTTCAGCTTTTTTTAAGAGTTAATCATCTGTTTAGACTTTGAAATTTCCCTGCCAACTGGCATTATGTAGTGCCTTTTGAGAACACTTGGTAAAGATCTTATAAAGGCAGTAACTGAAACTTTGTGCTCTGTTAGTTTAAACCTTAGTGTCTGGTCTTTCCTGATAGATCTTTAGTGGTGTAATCTTCACAACAGTTGCGGAAAGTCCTTTGGGGCTATATTATCATATAAAATATTTCTACTGTCAAGCAGATAGATATACATTAATTTTTCTTAAGTCTAGCTGTATCATTACTTCCAACCTTTCTAGTAGGTTAGTTCTCTAGAACAGCACCAGCAACCATCTCTGAAAGAAATCATCCATGCTAATGACAAATAATGAAGTTTCAATAAAAGTAAGACTCTGAATGCACTGAACAGAACTTAATACTGAGGTCTCAGCATCTGTCTTTGCATTTACTTTGTAATGCTGTAACGGAAATGCTAAGTCATGGCCTGAACCAGTGATTGAGCACCTGGTGGGAAGGCAGGGCCAACCCAGGAGAGCTCAGATGCATGCAGCGCACCTGAGTGACCAGAAGGGGTGGAGCCAGGATCCACCCCTTACCAGATTTCATTCAAGGGTTGGCAGTGGAGACAAGGGAGATCTCTGGAGATCTCTATGTCTGGGGAACCTTATGTAGGCTTTCTGAAGGTAAGCAGCTTCTTTCTCTCTGGACTTACTTCTATCACGTCTGTGTGGATCATCACTTGGCTGCAGCCTGGGATCTTGCTGCTCTGCTGTCTTATTGTGTTTTCTATTGTGTCTCAAACACATTATTTAAGTATATTTTTTGTCTCTGTTTTAAACACACCAAAATGTGGAGGCACTGTCTGTCTTTACTGTAGCTTCTGCATAAACCAAATCATACTGTAGTTGCTTGCTAAATAAGAAATGTCTGAGTGCGTGCATCTTGATCAATCCATAAAGAATTTTTATTTTTTAGGTTAGAAGAAACTGTAGCAGGGAAATTTTGGTGTTAGACTTCTTAAAGTTATTGTTGATTGCTGAGGGAAGTGAATGTGTTAATGATTTGTGTATGTAATATTTGAGTGTTACCCCAGTGAGCACAGTTGAGCTGATGGAGGCCATCTGCTGAAATGCAAGATGTGAAATACGTAAGCAGCAACGTTATTGACTTGACAGCAACAGCAGTATGGAATATTTTGTTCAGCCTCACTGTCTTAAAACTTTTGAGACTGATGCAACTGTAACCATTTCTAATATTTTTATGAGTTAAAATCATTTATTATCCTGCAGGAGTAAACTATATGCATACAGAGTTTTCAGAATGTACTGGTTCCTAAAACTTTTCTGTATTTTTGGGGTAACTGTATTTTATTTCTCTGGGAGTGTAATAAATTTAGAGATTACTTTACAATTTCATTTGCTTTTTTGTTTCATTTTTAAGCCTGTGTCATCCAGGACCTTGTCCTTCATGCCCAGCCTTTGTGACAAAAACATGTGAATGTGGACAAACAAGGTGAGAATATTTCTATTATGTAAACAAAAGCTTGTAGTTCACTAAAAGTTTAATAGCAGTGTTTCTTTTCTGAACTATAGTTAATGTTTATATAATTTTTTTTCTGAGCTTCAGCTCAGAAAAATCAGCTGGAGAAGTTTACACATTTCCTTTTTAAAAAGTGAGTACTTTTAATCTTAAGAAAAAAAAAACTTGATACAAAGCTGAGTTGTTGAAGCTGTGTGTGAGTTGATGCAGTTTTTTTCAATCACAGTCTGGTATTTACTTATTTTTGTTTGTAGGAGACAGTGAAAGAAGTAGGAAAAAATGGCACTTTTTCTATCCACATAGAATAACTCAGTTACATTCTATTCCAGAAATAATGATCTAAAATATAGTTTGTATAGCTCAAGGAAGCTGTACCACTACAAAAGGGAAGCCTATTTTTTATTCCAGTCTTGAAGGCTGTCTTTTCCTTGTGTGTCTGATGCATGTGTTGTCATTTTCAACAGCAAGACCATACTGCCCATACTGTGCAATCTTTCATGCTCGGTTGCTCTGGGAGGTAGTTATGACTGATTCAATGTAATAAAATATTTGCCCATGTTCATTTTCAGAATCAGAATTAAAAAACATATTCAGTGTTAGCATTCGTATTCCTGTGTAAGTATTTGCAGGTGGAGGCACTTAATCTTCAGAGGAAAATAGATAAATTGTAGATAACTGAATTTTATTTTACATAAGATTGATTCATTGAATTGTAAGGAATAATTCATAAAAAAACAGGCAATTCTAACTGCTTTTCCCAAATGCATTCAAATTGCTGTTTGCTTTTTTTTTGTGTGCTGCATTTAACATTTAAAACGTCATTCCAAATAGCATTTTGTGATACGTACTGTATCAGCATCCAAGATGCATAGCACCTCAAACTTCAAGTTATTTTCGAATTGCTAGTTCACACATTTCAGAGTGGGTAAAGTCAGTTGTTACAATTATATAAAGACTAGGAATTTTTTCAGTTTTAGTCAGAATATTTTATAATAAAATGCAGTTTATGTTGGTAATATTTGCATGCATCCTATGTAAAAACAGACAAAAAACTTAAAATTGAATTCTTCTATCTTTCCTTGATTAAGCAGCTACAATCTCTGGGAGATTAATACAAGCTACATTGATGTAGGTGGGGGTGGGGGGTGGTATTCTTAGTAGTGAAAAATGTTTCTGTAGGCTGCATCACTATTAATACTCATATCACTGTCTTCACTGTACCCAGTGGACTTCAGATCATTTAAAGCTTTAGGAAAGATTTGTGTAATGGAAATATCTGCTCTTGGCCCAATGCATAGCCATACTTCAAGTTTCAAAATATCTGTCTTTTTTCCCCATTTTATTGACAGAAGTCTATTATGCTTTTTAATAAGTTCTCTGTGGATTTAAGGTAGCTGATAGAATGTGGTGTCATTCTTCTACAGTCATTCAGTTCGCTGTGGCCAGTCAACAAAAATTCATTGTTCTAATGTATGTGGAAGTACTTTAAACTGTGGCAAGCACAGATGTACTCAGGTTTGCCATGCAGGAGAATGTTTACCTTGCCAACTGAAAGTACAGCAAGGTAAGTATGAGAATGCCTTATGCATATCTGTCATGATATATGTATACTAGGAAAACAAGAGGTGGGGAGGGGACTCTGTCATCAGGCAGGGGCTTTACTTTAACTAAGATCTGTTGCTAGAATATTTAAAGACTGGAAAATTAGAATCGCTATATGTTAAAACAGGAATATGAACATAGCTAGAAGAATTCTGCTGTGAGGTTTAGGATGCTGGAACACACGTTCTATGAAGATGGGTAGAACTAGACTAGGTTGAGAAGGCTTAGGAAGGACTGAGTCTTTCAGTAGCTAACAGAAGGTAGTCAAGAAGATGGAGCCAGCCTGTGTATGTATGTTAAGAGGACAAGACATCAGGCTAAATTGAAATGTTGTAACTGGTTGTAAGGAAAAACTTTTTTTGTGTATGTGGGAACTTGGAGTTTTTTAGACCCAGCTGAGTAAAACAGTGAGTAATGTGATCTGATCTCATTGCTGGCTCAGCTTTAAGGGTTTGGATTAGCTGACCGTCTTTCAACCTGAATTGACTATGGTCTTTCTTAAGATTACATCATTCCAGGACTTTAAACGCTATGGAAAAAGAATAGAGACCGACAAATCACCTTTCAATGAAGTACTCATGATTGCTGCTTAAAATTTTCTAAACTCAGTTGTGGAAAGGAAACTATATCATACTTGTTCCAGTATACTAAAGCAAATACAGTTTTCTAAATAAATAATTCAAAAAACATGTTCATTTTCTTGACGTTTAAGGTGATACTTAACTTGTTATGTATACTACTTTAATATGTAAGCTTTTTCTGAAGCTAGAGCTTCCCCTTTGGTTTCTGTCTCATCAAAACAAGAGTGGTATTTCAGAATCTGTAGGATTGAGAAACCTCTGAATTAAACCTGATGAACTTAGGAAAAAAACCCACACATCTCACAATTCTGCATTTGCTCTGTTGCTGTGTTTTGCCACTGATACTTTTATTGTTTTCTGTGCAATGTCGCTTTCTTTTAGTGTGTTACTGTGGAAAAAACTTTAAAGAAGTATTGTGTGGGACAAAGGAAGAATTTTATGATGGATTTGGGAGTTTCTCGTGTCAGAATACATGTGGCAAGTAAGTTCACTGTAATTTAGGCTTCTGAAAACTGAAAGGTCACTTTATTCATACTTAGTGGTCATGTCACTGTAATTCCCCTTTTTCTTTTTTTTTTGTTTTTTCACAGAACATTAAATTGTGGGAGGCACAACTGTACACAAGTATGCCATCCTCAACCTTGCCAGCTCTGTCCACGACTTCCACAAGTAGTGTATCGCTGTCCCTGTGGTCAGACTCCTCTCAGCAAGTTACTGGAACTAGGATGTATTGAACGTAAAATCTGCACAGATCCTATCCCATCATGTGGAAAAACGTGTGGCAAACCTCTTTCTTGTGGTAGCTATGGTAATGAGAATTTTCTTTCTGCATCAGAGTATCAAAAGAAAAATCTCACATTATTTAAAAAGAACAACTTTCATGTCAAAGATATTTTTAAGGATTTGGGTATTGGCCAAATTGAGTATGAATGCTACTGCAGAGCCTGTGAGATAGGCTGTAATTGTTCAAAGGGATACTTTAAAATCAGGAAATGTAGTTATCTAGAAATCATCTACAATAGCTAGTTCTGAAATTTTGTATCCATAGACTTCCATACTGGTGGAACTGTAGGAATTTCTTGCTGTTCACGAATGCTGAAGTCTCTTAAAAGCCTTCCTAGATCTTCATTGTTGATATGAAAACTGGTAGAGATAAATGGTTTCACGTAGTGCCTTTAGATGCTATTATTAAGCACTCATTTACTGTGGCCACAAAGAGAAGTGTGATGTTAGGCCACGACGTGAATTGCGATGTTGGGCAGTTGAAAGGAAGAAGTTATTTACAGAACTAAATAGTCTCTTCAGTGATTGCATTAATTAAATAAAAGTATATTTAACTGAGATTGTATGAAGCTTCAATTTTATAAAACCACATAATTAATCATAACTACTTATACTTGAAATTCCACTAAACTGTAATTTACTGCAGTTAACCGAGGAAGCAAAAGATGAAGATATGCATAAGTCTTTTTCATTTAGGATGAACAAGAATGAATGAATTATGTAGTTAAAATTTGTGTAACTTGCGTAAGATGTTTATCTTGCAAATTTTTAAAAAATATATATGAAAGGTATTTGTGCATTATCAATGTTAATTGGAAACTTAACTGTTTAGTCTACATATTCAGGATCATAAAGTTCCACATAATAGAAAAAAAAAAAAAAACCACTGTGAAATCCTTGAATTCTTTTGTCTGTTTGAGCCAAAATGTCAGAATGGAAACCCAGCTGCCAGTAGACTCGGTATCTGCAAACTGTGGTGCTCCTGATAAACACTTTGTTACTGATCATGCATTTTATTTATTTTAATCTTTTTACTTTGATTTTTATAGAGTTGCTTCATACATGTGAAAGCCTGTGCCATGAAGGAGACTGTAAACCATGTTCTCAAACATCAAATATTTACTGTAGGTGTGGCTTCAAAAAAAAGGTGAGTGCATAGAGCTTGACCAGGCAAACAGGTAGTTGGTGGTTTTCGTTTTTTTTTCTTTAAGCTGTGGGGAAAAAGAAGCTAAGAAGGTGTTGTGCCTCTGTAGTTACAGGGGTGTCTGCTATGTTAGAACTGATAGACATCAGCTAGATAGTGCTGTGCAGGGCCAGTATAAGCTAGTTACTGTGAATACAATTTCTGAAGGATTACTGCAGTACTTATAGAATTTTCTTTGTTTAAGCTGGCTGCAAAGCCTGTATTGTCCTGCAGTAATGATGTAGTGCAGAGAATGATAGTTTTACCAGGAGTAATGTAAACCAAGAGAAAGGTAGAGGAAAAGCTAAATAATGTATAGTGATAGCCTATAGATTTGTAGGAAATTTTGGAGATGATATTGGTTTTTAGTCTTTCTTTGTACTTTCTTGTAATGAAACAGCAGAACCGCAGCAGTTGTCATATAATAATTGGTAGCCTAGTTTAAAAGTATACTGTGCATAACCATAGCTTTGAAATCTTTGGTTACTATCTCAGAAACCTTTTATTTTCACATTGTGTTTTATCTGAGTAAAAATTTTCACTCATGAGATTTGACTTTTTGTTTAAAAAATGTCAGTCTTGCATTTTTTTTTTTGAAACTCATGATCAGAGCACAAATTTGAACTTTACTAGTACTCTTGAGGAGTGCATAGTTTTTCTCAATGCAAGTTTCTGGTTTCCTAGGATAAATGTGTTCTTATTACATCACAGTGTTATCCAGTGAGTTAAGTGAGGAATCTTAAACTACAAACTCTTGCTACTGAATTTCTAGGGAAAAAAGTCAAGTGTTAAAATGTCAAGATTAAAAAAATGTAGATTAAAACATGAACTAATGCATAAATTTGAGGATTTTTCCAGCTTTTTCCTTTCTTGTGTCCTAAAGTGTTATGCACCTGAAAACTTCTTGTCATATGTGACTAGGTACTTTCTAGATGAGTAAGTTGCAGTTGTTGCAATATAATTGCTCCCTGTTTGTTTCCTAGGAAGTCCCATGTGCTCTGCTCAGGAATAAAGGTAGTATTATTTTATAATTTGCTCAGTATATAGTATGAAATAGTTTTGAAGTCTTAATGAGACAGCTCATTAGTTTTGGTTTTGATTCAAGAAGTTACCAAATATCTGATTCAGTAGTCATTTTCAATTTCTGATGCTGATTTTGTATCTCTACTGTATGTTTCTATCTTGGGTGTTGTTTTTTTTTCTACTACAAAATTTCAGAGGGTGGCAGAACTTGTTTTTCCTCACATTCTGTTGAGTTCTGGTTGTTCAGGATTTTCCTTGGCACTTTGTTCTTTATCCTGATATGTTCTTTGTTGTTTTTTATTGTCAGTTTTTAGAGAGACTTAATGTATTTTATATTAAATAAAGCAGATGATGTGTTCACGTTTTTCAAGACTTAGAAGTCCTGAAAGCTGTTCTGAAAGCTCTATTCTAAAAGGCCTTCAATCAAAGCAGGAGTGAATCTTTGAATTTTGTCTGCATATCAAATTAAAGGATTTGATTATAAGATTATTTTGTCAGCATTACTTGACTAGAATTCTTCCTCGAGAGTTGTCTTGTAAGCTGGATTATGGCAACATTTCAAGGAAAAGGGAGCTTGCTAGAGCTGCTAAATGTAAATGCATAAGGATGTCACAGTCCTACTCTATGTAGGACTGTAGTGCTATCACACATAAACACAAAATAGTCATAGAGCACCCTCTGGTATCTGCTGGTCTTGTGGATGAGCAAGAGAAATCACTTTAGGGAAAGGAAATGAACGAATGAATGGATATTTCTAGCCATTCCCACCACTCCATTTATGGAAGAAAGATAGGAGACCTGAAACAGTAGTGAACTGCACTGTAGTAGTAATCCACTGTAACTGGCTAAACTACTGTTGGGGGAGTTCTCTAAGTGTAATCTTCGCTGCCTTTGCCTGTCTTCTGTGCTGGTTGTGCTCTAGAAAAGAGAGGATACTTGCTTGGAGAGTTCAGATGTTTACCACATACACAAAGAATTGCTCATCCTGCTTTCTAGTGATTGATACTGGGAGTAGTTCGTATGCTATTTAATTGTTAAAACTGAAGAATCTCAATCTAGAGACATTTTAGTTGATGGATCCCTGTCATACTGAAGTACTCATTTACAAGTTCAGTAATCTAGTAATGTGCATATTTCCTAAGTTGAACTTTTAGTTAGGAAGACGTAAAAACACTTAAGAACTCAGAAATAGTTGTTCACATTGCTTGAGGATGGTAGTAAGTTTATTTGTGGTGTAATCAGTGTATCAGGAAGTCCTATTTTGTCTGTTCTGTTTGCAGAGTTTATGGTACAAAGAATAATGTGAAATAAACTGCTCTCCAAAAATCTTTTTGAACAAGGGCTTGTTTAAAGCAAGGCAAGTGTTTACATGGGGAATTAATGTGGAAGTGCAACTAATTTATGTTTTTGTGCACTAACTTCCCATCACTGCTCTTCTTTAGATCAGGCCTTAGAACATCCTTAGCCTAATATTGTGACTTAAGCTTTTATTCTCAGTGTGAGAGAAGAGCAAATCGTGACTTGTGTTGTGATTATTTTTTTTTAATAGCTGCTATTACATTTATGTGTGACAAGCGATGCAACAAGAAAAGGTCATGTGGACGACACAAGTGTAATGAAGTTTGCTGTGTGGTAAGTCCACGTGGTTTTATAGAATCTGTTTGTAATGAAGCATTTGTATTTTGTTGTAAGGTTAAGACTTTTTGCTTTTATGCCCTTACATTTTTGTGTGTTTTGAATCTCTATTTCCAGTACAAGTCATGCTCCAAAAGTTTGCGTGTACATTTATTCTGCAGAATTCATTTTATGGGCGTTGTAAAAACATGCTTTAGCTTAAATACAATTAAAGGTGATAGATAATGGCCTCAAGTTGTGTAAGAGGAGGTTCTTGTTCAATGTTAGGTAACTTTTTCTTCTTCTGGAAGAATGATCAAGTGATGCAACAGGCTGCCCAGGGCAGTAGTGAAGTCACCATCCCTGTAGATGTTCAAGAAAAACGTAGATGTGGCAATTAAGAACATGGGCATAGTGCTGATAGATTGATGGTTGGTCTTCATGATCTTAGATGTCTTTTCCAAGCTTAATGATTCTGTAGTTTTTAAATCAAAGTAAAGATACTTTTTGTTGGTTCACTGATTCCAAGGAAAATGAGAGAGGGTGTGATATTACTTAGCTGCATCATGGATTATAGTTCTAAGTCTGCAATTGGAATCTTAACAGAATCAGCTTCAAAAATGGTGTATACCTGCTGTGATGAAAAGTTGTGTGTATCAGGCCTAAGCTGTTTTTTTCCAGTACATAGCTTTGACAGTTATAGAATCACAGAATGGTTGAGTTTGGAAGGGACCTCTGGAGGTCATCTGGCCTCTGCTCAGGCCGTGCCACCTAGAGCCACTCACCCAAGATCATGTCCAGACAGCAGCTGAAAAGTTCCAGGAATGAAGATGCCAGAGCCACTGTTGGTGACTTGAGCCAGTGGTCAGTCACCTGCACAGTAAATAAATATTTTGTAATATTCATGGGGAATGTCCAGTGCCTCAGTTTATGCCCATTGCCTCTTGCCTTGGCATAGGGCACTACTAAAAAGAGCATAGCTCCATCCTTTAGGGACCTGCATAAATTGACAAGGTCCCTCCCAAGCCTCCTCTTCTCTAGTCTAAGGAGTCCCAGCTTTCTTCTCTTTTATTCACAGGAGAGATATTCTAGTCTGTTTGTAATCTTCTCAATCCTTTGCTGGAATCCCTTGCGTATGCCAGTGTAACTGTCAGTACAGGGCCCAGAACTGGAAACAATACTGCAGGTGCAGCCTAAACAATACTGAATAGAATGAAAAGTACTCAAAGATTTAGCATCTTCAAGTTCCAGCACAGATTTTCCTTTGGATTCCCTAAATGACTTGTGTATGGCAAAAGAAGGTGACAGTGCCTTTGAATCGGATACATAGGTTTAATAGGTGTGGGGAGGGATAGGTCTTGCCCTCTGTGATAAGATAAATAAAGGCCTTGTATCTGTCTTGAGTTGGTGCCTCCTCTTGAGCTGGGGCTTGTTGTGGCCTTTGGTACCACACCCTTTGGCCTGATAGTATGGCTAGATCACTATATCAGGTACCAAAGGGGGGACGGGGGTGGTTAATTTGGTACATGAACATGATTAACGTCCCCTTAGTGATGAAGATCAGTGTCAGCTACTACCTCCACTGGCCATGTACCAACTATGGGTGGGTTTACTGATCCCCTGACCTCTAATAATCTCCCCCACAGTGCAAGTAAACTGCATCATTTCAGTTCTACTTATACCTTCTAAGGCCACGTTACCTTCTGCTTTCTGGGCTCCTCAGGGGCAGAGAGCAGAAGATTATTTCTGGTGCCAATTTTCAGCTCAAGTGAGGTCTCCTTGTCTGTGATTTGTATCCTAAGGGGGGGAGACTGAAGTTGTCTGCAACATTCTTAAAGCACTGGATCTGCTATCCCTTGGTCTCTCATTGAAACCTTGTGGGACTTGAGAGTCTCTTGGTCCACCCTTGCAAGGACTGAATTTGCCTTCAGAGCGGACTTCAGGATCCCGTTATGTCTTTTCTGTTAGGCCTGCTCCCATTGGATGATATGTCAAGTGAAACTGCTGTTTGCTGTTGTTGTCTTTGGCCTACTTCTGCACAGTTGAACCTGTGCAGAGAGGCTCTAGGAGAAGAAGAGAATCTTACTCCTGTGGAATAAGGGACGAGCAACTTGGGGAGAGTACAACAAAGATGTTAGGATGTGCAGGGCAACAGCCCTGCTTGCACTCATCTTGGTCATTGGGGTAAAAGATCAAAACTTTTTTTTACTAATATATGAACAGCACGTGGAGGGCTAAGGAGAATCTGCATCCTCTACTCTATGTGGAGGGGAACATGACCAATGAGGATAAGAAAAAGGCTGAGGTTCTGAATGCCTTCTTTACATCTGTCTTTAAAAGTCAGACCAGTTATCCTTGGGGTACTCTACCCCTTGACTTGGAAGTCTCAGATGGGGAGCAGAACAACCCCCCCCATGATTCAGATGGAAACTGCTGGGCCAAGGCAATCCCAGGTATTTCTACAGACTGG